TGCACTTCATGTTGATCGCCTGGCCTCTCCTCAACTTGACAATGCAACTACCCGTCTCTTCTGAATCAGTGATGACCGGCTTCCCCAACTCTTCGTTTGGTGCCCGAGATTCAATCACCAGATCCCGCGCGTACACCTTCATAATCTCGCTTCCTGTGCATTTCGCGTTGAGGGTGAGAACGACGGCGCAATTGTCGCAGTAGCCTTCGCAGTCGCAGTCGCGCGAGTACAGCAGCTCTTCTACGCCTTTGGAGCACAGAGGGATGAGGCCGAGACGGTGGCAGACGAACTCGTCAGCGAGGACGGATGTGTTGTCGAACACTTCTACGACGTCGATGGCTAGGGTGGGAATCTCGGCGAGCATCACACGGCGGAGCGAGTTTGCGGTTTCGAGATTGAAGTTCTGGACGATGAAGTTGGCGCGCTGGCTGTCGGCCTACGCATAGCTGGGTTAGCTCGACGTGTCCTGGGGCAGACGGAGCGGGCGGTGTACCTGGAGGAAGCGCACGTTGATTGCGCCGCCATCTGGGTCGTAGTCCATCGCGTCGTCGTTTCAGGGAGGAGAGGGCTGTGTGCTTGCGAGGCTCGTGATGGAGCCGAGGTACTAGGGCGACTGGATTCGGAGGCGGAAAGAGACGTGTTGACGTGTGGGGGGTGTGCTGGCTAGGGTCGTCGTCCTGATGGAGATTCTTTGAGGTGAGTCTGGCGAAGCAGCCTAGCGTCTAGGTGTGGCGCATGCATCTACGCCACACCTAGATTCAGCCACACCATTGACAGTGGCATCGTCATACGGGTCAGCAGCTGGCGAGATTACGCCGAGTGTAGAATTGCATGCAGGGTCACGTAGACCAAGATTAATGGTTGGATGACGTCTGACTTCTATGCTTAAGAGTTACTAGGGAAACCGTAGATTTCGTAAAGGCGGAGTCGTCATAGCATCACCTGCAGCTACCGTCTCGTGCGTTGATTGTACACACCAAACAGGAGACATGTACAACGGTTGTGCGCATCAAGACTTGTGGATGCGCCCGGCGTACGCGGAGCTCGAGACAGTCACGAGACAAGCATGGCCTTTGATCAGCCTTGCAGTTGAACACATGAGACATTTTCTATGGGCCAAGCCTGACTTGAGCATCACAACAAAATCCAAACATGAAGGGTACTATTGGCCGACAAAGAACCTCAAGCGCAAAGCGCCTATGGCTGTGTTGCGAAATGAGCCGACCGAGTTGAACAGTTGTCCTTGCCGTATCGCATGCCTATGGCAGACGGACAATAAACGAGTCTGCCGCCGAGTGATGACCTATTACATGCCCAGTCGGACGAGATAAGGCCTTGATGGTATTGCATGCATGCTGTGTAGTCCTAACATGGATAAGCCGGACACTAACAGTGGACTCGGTGCTTGAATAGTCAGTAAAGGATGTTCTGTGGAACCAGCGAGACACTGGTAGATGTTTCTTTCGTGGACATGAGGCTGAGTGGCAGGCGACTATGCATCAGCGAGGCTGAGGCCCTCTCCTTTCTCTGCGTCTCGTGCTATCGTCAGTTGAATCCATCATTGACGCGTCCGCCGAGGTCCGGAGACCTCCAGCAGCACAGTGCGTTGGGGAGCAATAGGGCGGGGCAGTGCAATGGTGCCCAGGAAATGGCGCGAAAGAAGCAGAGACATGGGACATGGACGCGGGAAATGGCATGGCCGGAGTCTGGCCTTGGCGGATTGAGGCGGAGCAACGGTCGCTGCTTGCATGCGGGCGCTGCAACGACCAACCGCTGAAGGCGAACTTTGATATAAGACACGCGCTGTCGGTCTCTTGCCCTCCAACTCATCACAGCAACTCAACCAACAGACCACAGTATATCTTTGCGCAACATAAATGATCGCAAACATGCAGGCTACTCTACCTCCATCACCAATGCGCTCCCGCGCGTCATCGGGGAGCAAGTCGCCACTTTCTCTCGACCTTTCAGACCTCCCACCGCTCGTCGAGCCATCACCTCCTTCAAACACTCTCATCATAACCGTGAGTATTCTTCGCCTTAAAACTAAGAGCACAAACTAACAACGTTCAGAATCTTCTCGCACCCGAGATCTTCTCACTATCCACCCTCACCGAGATCCGCGAAACCGTCGACAAATATGCGAAAGTACACACATGGGCGCCGCTCAAGTCTTTCCGGCGCATCGTAGTATCCTTCTTCGACGTCGACTCTGCGATCCAGGTCCGACAAGCCCTTGATGGCGAACAACTCATGGGCTACCGCATCCGCGTATACTTCGGCGTAAACACACCCATGAACCCCTCAGACCAGCACCTCGCCCTCCCAAAGTCCGACCGACTATTCTTCATTTCGCCGCCGCCCTCTCCACCCATGGGCTGGGAAATGAAGGAAGAGGATGCGCCAAACAAGATTGTACACCCAGAAGACCTTGCGGCAGCGCTGGCCCGGTTACATGCAAACCACGAGGCGACATCGCCTACGACTGATCACGGCGGCCCATCCATCACAAGAAGGCGAACTGGCAGCACCACTGTTGTCTACCATCCCGAAGACCACGGTGATTCGCCGAACCTTCCAGCCATATCCGTCGAAGACACAACAGAGACACCTGAGCCGTTGACACCCATCGATGCGATGGAGGGCGTCGAGGGCCCGATCGCATCGCAGAAGGCGCAGGGCATAGCAGTGAGCACATCAAGGCCTCCGGTCGAGCTCATGCACTAGACGGTTGTGCAGATTTCACCTCATTTCTTTCCTTCTGTTTTCAAAAAGCATCATCTGCTCAAATGACATTGCGAGTGCATGGTTCCGGCGTTAGTGGTTTTCCTCTTGGGATGACTCGATTTCGACTTAGGAATGATAGCATGTGTTTTAAGGACAGTGGTGATACCTTTGGTAGGACTCTGGTTGCAATGAGTCTAATGGGTATGGCATAGTATGATATCCCGTTCGAATAGCGCAAATACGTTGAAGTACAACTCTACTCCGCCTGCTCCAGTCTGTTTCGTGAACATGTGTATGCAGTGTCAGTCTGAATTGCGAAGCCAGAGCCCACCCGGCATTGCGACGCCAGAACTATGGCAATGCAATGCAAGTGTTGATCAAGTACTCCATGTCTCTGCCTCTTCACTACGAACTGCTTGTCTACCCGCGCAGAGCTCCGTATGAGGCATTGTACTGCAAGTTCCAACCTCACATAACGAGAGTTTCTGATTATAGAAGCACAAGGATGTGAAAACGTCCACATCCGGTGGGGCGCATCATGTTGTTGGTCGCAGTTGCCCGCGGGCCGTACCTGAAAGTCGCGCTAGCACGTGATGATCTCCATTCCGATTAGCGCGCACTACGAAGCGAAGGCCCATTTCGATAATTCTAATTTCGCAGGCCACGACCCCGACAACACCACGACAATCTACTAACGTTGCAGCTTCCACACGCCGTCGAGACGCCGCAGTCAAGATGAAGCTCAACATCTCATACCCCAACAATGGCACCCAGAAGCTGATCGAGGTCGACGATGAGCGCAAGCTCCGCGTCTTCATGGAGCGCCGCATGGGTCAGGAAGTCCCCGCCGACAGCATCGGCGACGAGTTCAAGGGATACATCGTCAAGATCACCGGCGGTAACGACAAGCAAGGTTTCCCGATGAAGCAGGGTGTCATGCACCCAACCCGTGTCCGCCTCCTGCTCTCCGACGGCCACTCCTGCTACCGCCCTCGCCGCACTGGTGAGCGCAAGAGGAAGTCCGTCCGCGGATGCATCGTCGGCATGGACCTCTCCGTCCTTGCCCTCAGCATCGTCAAGAAGGGCGACGAGGACATTCCCGGCCTGACCGACATTGTCCACCCCAAGCGCCTCGGTCCCAAGCGCGCCACCAAGATCCGCCGCTTCTTCGGTCTCAGCAAGGAAGATGATGTGAGTTTTCTCATAGCTTCTTCGCCAATCCTGCTTCGCATAGCGGATTGAGTCTCGCTCATCCTGCTACAAGCAGCGCATTGAGTCTGAGCAACAAGAAGTGAGCTAGAAAGTTTGAAGGTTTGAGTACTAATCATTGCGTGTGTAGGTCCGCAAGTTCGTCATTCGCCGTGAAGTCGTCCCCAAGAAGGAGGGCGCAAAGCCCTACACCAAGGCCCCCAAGATCCAGCGTCTTGTTACTCCTCAGCGTCTCCAGCACAAGCGCCACAGGCTCGCACTCAAGCGCCGTCGCGCGGAGGCTTCCAAGGATGCTGCCGTACGTTCACACCATCCACTACAAGACACACATAGGCTAATAATACTGCAGAACGAGTACGCTCAGATCCTTTCCAAGCGCATCAACGACGCCAAGGCCGCACACGAGGAGGCCCGCAAGAGGAGGGCGTCTTCCATGAAGCACTAGAGCGTTATCATGAGTTCATGATTGGGTCGTGGAATGATTACATTGGCGTCGGCACGAAAATAACGGTGTGGGCTCCTGTATCTGAATGAAAACTTCGGGCATTCAAGGGAATAGGCGCTTCTCATACCACTGACTGCTTAAGGCAGTTGTCTCAATAAACAATTGCATCACTTCACGACCGCTCCACAACCTTCGTATCCGACATGTCTCTTGCTGGTACACTTTCATACACTTCGCATCTGTCGACTGACAAACGTATCTCGTCGACCTACCTGACCTTGCTGATCATGGGAACTCCATTTTCAACGTTGCCTCATCGCGCGTACTTCCTGCAACCCTTCCAGCTCATGGTATGCCAAGCCCTTGCTTGAGCCTTTGCATGCTCACCGGATATCGTGCACGCCATATGTCTATCCTTTTGTATCTTGCATACACCCTCCTCGATATACGAAGCGCTTGACTATGGTGAAGTTTATCCATCGAAGACGTTCTAGCTCTGAACAAACAATGAAGCCTATTTGTCCTAGCAATCCCGGCCCAACGCATGTGTACATATATTCAGCCTCCTCCTACCAACACTCACCCCTTCGCCAAGATAACCTTCTTGAATTCATCCAAGATGATCATGGCCTCCCAGTCGATGCATCACGGCGTCGAGCATAGATGTGCTTCCATCCACATCCTCGGTCCGCGACACTCAGGCCTCGAAGAAATATGCGACGACCTGCTTGATTCAGACAAAATCGAGCATCTGACACGCACGTACATCAAGGATACCTGCCAGCATTTCCAGACATCAGACAGTAAAGAAAAGTTTGATGACATCTCTTCTGGCAACCCGGTGTACAGTAAGTACCTAGACAACGACAGGCTTCGAATTCCTGACCAAGGACTTGTCGTCCTGGTAAAGAGAGACCTAGTTAGCGCTATGGAGAGATGGGCGACTAAATATGGGGAGCTCAAGACGGATGACCAGAGGAATAACACTGGTGAGAAACAAACCATTGGATCTTTTCTCAAAAGCGTTACATCGAAGGTAAACAGCATCTTGAAGAAGCTGCTGCAGTCAGAACAAGCTCGGATACAAAAGGCGAGAGGAAAAGCTTGGGCGACATATCTTGAAGAACGGAAGACGGCTGAGAGGACTTTTGCGGAGATGGGGACGCAGCTAGATACGCTATCATTGGAAGTTGATGGAAATGATGCGGTCGCGGCCGTTGAGAAGATCTGCGACAAATGGAAGACGATGCAGAATGAGTATGGGGATGCTTGATTGTACTTCGACCGGGGAGTGATTGGGGTTAGAGAACGAGGTATTGAAGCAGATGGACTTCATCATCGTGAATTGTTTACTGGCAATAGCAGTCTTCCTATATCTACAACGTTGTGTTGTTTCCCGAGAAGCAGGCAGAGTGTTGCATCTTTTGCAACGGATGAATTCTTCAAATCCCCCAACGTCCATGCTACAAACTCTGGTCAATCTAGGTGAATACAAAGCTTGTAGTGGCAAGCTGATAGATGGCGCTGACGCACGGTCAAGTCGGGTTTGGCATGTCTAGATTGCTTGAAGGTATAACAGCGTATCAACAAGCATTGGTACTGGGATGTGTACTTTTTGATATTTTCTAAGGTATATGCACATCGGTCGTATGTATGTACAAAGCCGACCGACGCATCCAAGCCTAGTCTATGATGTTGCGCCGCGCAATGCTGTCAGCGCCAAACGCCCGCCCGTGTGGTATCATTCGCCTCGTCGCATACCCAATATTGCACAAAGCAGATGCGCGTCTTTCTCATTCCCCTTTTATCTATTCCAGCTTTTTCAATTGCCTGTAGACCTTCTTGTGTTGCTCCAAAAACAAGAACGTGAGCACGGTGTGCGGGCCAACGCGAATGAAGCTCGGCACCCAGCCCTTGAACATCCAGCGGAACCCTTCTGCTCTCATAGTATCCGTGACGGTCTTCACTAGTCCTACACTCTCACTAGAGCTCATGACTTTAGTTTTGATGACATCTACCGGTGAGCATATCGTTGTAGCTACAAATCCAGCCAAGAATGATGCTGAGAAATGTGTTGCGAGATTGTCTTGCAGCGGCGTGTAGTTCAGCAGCACGCGCTTGAATCCGTCGTATGTTGCCAACTGTCCAACTGTCATGAGCACAGCTCTTGACGAGTTGGGCCAGACGCCTTTCCATAGACTTGCTACTCCTTCTTCCCGCGACATTCGTATTATCCCATCAATCGCGTTCTTGTATCCTCTCCGCTTTTCTTTCGGTAATGCGGCATCGTGCTGCATCCGTACGTTCAAGATGTCTCCTGGGTTACCGGCGAATCCTCCGAGGAATCCTGATATGGAAGCCATGCCTACGAGCGTGAGGAACGAGGGTTTCGTGTCGGCGGTCGTCATGCGGTCTTTGAGGGCTTCGTAGACACCGAAGCGTGTCATGCTGTATGTCCCTTGGCGGAGCTGGGCTGCGGAAATCTATCGTCGCATTAGACGGGTCCATTGGAATTGAACAGATAAGACGACTTACGCCCTTGTACAGCCCCAATGCGCCATCAGTCTTAATAACATGCTTAAACATTTGCATCATGTTCAACTTTACGCCAGATATCGTTTGTGTTTGTAATCGGACCTGAATTCATGAGTATACATAAATTGGCGCACGCGACAGTCGAGAAAGCTACCTTGACTACTCAAACTATCAGCCACTGTCCAATGCTGCGCACAAAGCGGTACAAAGCTTACCAAGATCCAGAGGATGTGTAAAGAAAGTCGCAAAACAACTTGCGCTTCCACCAAACCAGAACGGATAGCGTATGGGCGTCTTCTTGAGAGGCTTTACATCTTCGCTCTTCCGTAGCTCAGGCACGCTTACGGGCTTCTTGACGTCCGCCATGTTGAAGGTGAAGGACCGCGCAGCAACAGCATGTGTAGCTGGCAGGGACACAGGGAAGCTGTAGCCTTAAAAGTAAGGAAGCCTGCAAAGCTTCGGTGGTAGTTGAGGGACCGAGAATTCGGCACGCGGACGTCATCGGCAAAACGTGCTGCTTCCGGATTTAAGCTCGGAGCTGGCGGGCTGGGCTTGGCGGCGCGCGTGGTTTTGAGGTCGCGAAGATAACGGCGAATCTCATCATCAAAGATGCGAATACCACTTTCTTCCACGGCAACTTGCCGTCAATTAGGTCGAAATGCCCTATTGCGAGTACCACGGAGCGCAGTGTCGCCCTGGTCGTGGCGGCAAGCGGTGAGATATAATTCTTCTGGTGAGTTTGCTGTCATGTGACGCGGCTCACGGCTTCCCATATTGATGCAGTTGTACTACTCCGGCGTTGAGCGAGACTCGGAAGATGCAGATGAGAAATATTTCTGCATTCTACTATCGTGTTTCTGGTGTTGAGCAGCAACTTCGTGCACTTGAAGATATGCAGAAGTTTCAGAGTGTGGCATCTAAGTTCTTATAGGAGCGTTCCCGAAAGAAGTCAAAATAGAAGGACGAACGTATCAAACCGATGAATGGATGAACACACCCTCAACCATCCTCGCCGCTATCCCAAGACGCCTTCATCTGCAACCAGATCACCCTCTGGCTATCACACGAAAACTTATCGAATCACGGTTTCCAGGTTACAAAACCCATAACGACCTATTCCCTATCGTCACCACCGGCCAAAATTTCGATTCTCTCGGCTTCCCAATAGATCACATAGGTCGAAGTAGGACGGACACGTACTACATAAATAAGGAAACCGTACTACGAACACACACCTCCGCTCACCAAGCCGACACTTTCCGCAACAATGAGAGCGAGGGCTATCTCATCAGTGCTGACGTATACCGACGAGATGCCATCGACAGAAGCCATTATCCTGTTTTCCATCAGATGGAGGGAGCCAGAACTTGGGACCGTCAGCAAGCAGAGAAAGAAGGCAAGACGCTTGCGCAGGTCATCTGGGATGATGTGGAGAAGATTCCCAAGCACGATGTTGCAGTCGAAGACCCAAACCCTCCATTCCACGCCGATCGTAACCCACTTCAGACAGGACATTCGGCAGAAGAAGCAGAAGCCATGGCTGCACACCTGAAACGAAGTCTAGAGGATATGGTGGTCACGATCTTTAATGCTGCAAAGGGTGCTGCAGATACTGCCACGTCAGACGAGCCACTAAAGGTACGCTGGGTGGAGGCCTACTTCCCCTTCACATCACCCTCTTGGGAATTGGAAGTCTTTTGGCAAGGCGACTGGCTCGAAGTGCTCGGCTGCGGCATCGTGTCACAACCCATCCTGAACAATGCCTCGGTTCCCAATCGTGTAGGGTGGGCTTTTGGCATAGGTCTCGAACGCATAGCCATGTTGCTCTACTCCATCCCGGACATACGTCTGTTTTGGTCAAAGGACTCTCGCTTCTTATCGCAGTTCAGCGAGCAGAAAGCCATTCGTCGGTTCGAGCCTTTTAGCAAACACCCTGCATGTTTCAAGGACGTGAGTTTCTGGTTGAAGAGTAGCTCGAATGCTGCTGGTGGCGCCGCTGCTATTCATCCGCCTGCAGGAGGCGTGATTAACAGTTCATCCACCCCATCCTCTGCTCCTACAACTCGATCTGGCACGCCAATCCCACCAGCAGCTCCGGCGCCATCATCCTCCAGCTTCCACGAGAATGATGTGATGGAAATCGCGCGAGAGGTCTGCGGTGATCTTGTGGAGGATGTGCGCCTAACGGATGAATTCGTGCATCCAAAGACTGGGCGTAAGAGCATGTGCTACCGCCTTAACTACCGCAGCTTGGAACGCACACTCACGAACAAGGAGACTAATGAGCTGCATGAGCGGATGAGAGGCATGCTTGTGGAGAGGCTGGGCGTTGAACTAAGGTAGCGTTGGCTGGCCATGTGGTAAGATAGGACGGCAAAATCCGTACGAGTTCGCCATGTCCTATTCAGAAAAGGAGGAAAGGAGTATAGTCTGGTGGCGGTGGTGGCGGTAAAACGGTACGGGAGTCAGGCCGCCACGCAAAAAGAACACATAGGAGATGTCATGAAAATAGCATAGCCACGTGAAGAGACGGGATTCTGTGATCTCGATCGGAATGTGGGGAAAACCGTCAGAGTGACATTGAGGGTGTGATAAAGAACGGAACGGAGCGAACGGACGACTGCCGAATGTAGGTGTGGGTGTTTGTGTGTGTAAGAGAGGAAACTAATGTCGGCTATCGATCCCTTCAATCCTAACGGCGATGTCCACTGCATGATGTGGTTTCTGGGTGGCCAGACTGCCTGAGCATGCAGGACATCACACCCTAGAAACTCTAAACACGACGATATCTGCCGTACGGATTGCCTGACATGCAAAGTGGAGGAGTGGGCGGCGCTTGCATGCTTGCGTATCTCCTGGACGCCTCTTCGAAGCCGGCAACTCACGATGTACAATATACTGTAACGATAGTCGTAGTTCTAAATCAAACGCAACTCTACCATACCACAGGCTCTACTGTTACACACTCAAATCACTGGTACTCGGTACTTCTAGGTCCCAGACTCGGTACCTCCCTGCTGCACCTCCGTTTCTTGTCGACCGCAAGCCTCATGCACGGCACCCCGCAAAAATTCCGATTGAGGAAGGAGTAAAAAACAAGTTACACAAGGTACCGTACAGGAAAATCCTGTTTCTACACGCGAGCAGTCTCAACGTCTTTGAACAGCACTAACGCCTGATGTTGACAATGCAGCAAGAAAAAAAGTTGGCATCACGTCAGCAAAACGCGCGTCTCAGGTTCTGTAATTGTTGGTCGCCCTATATGCGGCTGTGTTATAGTTTGCAGTTGGTGGTGGCCAAGTTCACCGGCGTGTCCTGCAGGTCGCAAGCTGGTGGGGCAAAGGACCCTGTTTTCCCTCAAACCAATACCAAATTTCGACGCGGGTATGCGCCGTTCAAACTTACACGCTCGAGACGCATGCGATAAGACGTGACTTGCAGTTCGCAGCGGCATCCCAAGTAGGCAAACCCAAAATCGTCACGGACCCTGCGCCTTGCTTGCTTACCTGGGAACGCGCTTGTTGCTAGGTTGGCCAAACTAGCCCATAGACCAAAGCACGACATGTGTTTGCCTTTGGCGTCTAAGTTTGGCGCAGGTTTGGTGTAGGTTTAGCCTGGCTGGCGAGCGGCGGACCTCCTAAACTCCGACGAGGCTAGAAGAGACGTCGAAGGAGGCTTCTAGCTGCCGTTCTCCCAAGGGCTACCAGGAGGCACTTCCGTCGCAAAGAAAGATGGGTGTTGCGAATGTTCGCTTAGGATTTGGAAGCTTTTTCGGGGTCTTGCGCAGGGGCTGATGTGGCGTGGGCGGAAGTGCTGCGATCCTGCTGTTACTTTTGCGCCTCAGGCTTCCATGCGTCTTCGAGAAGCTCTCATTTTGGAAGGGTGAGCTCTGTTTGCTTGCTTTGTGGAACGTAAGCCTTCTGATGCTTTCTTTCTTTACATATTGTTATCCCCTCCTACACGTCTAGTTCGTCGTATTGATGTCAAATTCAAGGAATGCTGAAGTCTGTGTTGAGGCGGCTGGCTGATGTTCTCAAATTCAGTGTTCTGTGCCACATGTATACATCGCCGTGATCCCACAGTAGGGACAACCCATGCCATCGTCGTACACATTAACAGCCGGTGCGAACAAGCAACTGCCGACCTTGCAGGTAGCGAGGGATCGCATCTTCCGTGCGATGTAGCACTTCTCAACGGCTGTTGCAGCATGTTGACGATCATCCCATATACATGGCAACTCGTTCCCAGGTACTCGTCCCGTAACAATCCCCCCCACAAACATCAAGACAGCCACACGCTATGGCTCGAGCACGATGGGAAGAAGTTGTTCTTAGAGAAGATTGAGATCGAATTCAGATCGACGATTGTTGAGTAACGGCGAGTGGTTTATCTTTGCTTTTCGGTATCAGGAGTTTGGTGTCTGGGCAACGGCCAGCTGCAAGGATGTAAACTCTCGTAACGTTTGAGTATCAAAGTAAGAGCTGGGGAATTGTTCTCGCCGTACACGAAAGCTGTACTACCTTGATGCCTGCTGTGCTACCATATGACAGTACGATATGTTGCAACAAAGATAACGTTAATGAAGCGGATGAGGTTTGAAACGAGGTGACGGTGAGTCGTATTTAGCCAGCTTGTGTGTGATAGAGGTCCGATTTGAGCCGCATTAATTCGGCACGTTGTGACGGTTGTTAAGTGTATGATTCGAGTGGGTCCATGGAAGCACTAAAGTCATTTCCTCGTCGAACCGACATTGGAACACGGACGTGTTGTGCTTGACATTGCGCCATATCCGCAATGCTCAATAGAGACTTCGGAGATGATGTTGGTAGTGATGCGCAATAGTAGTGCGCTACTAAGAACAGATCATAACAGTTCGTGGTATGCTCTGAATCTGCACCTAATAGCTTAGTACGGTACATAACCGGTGGGATTGATCATCATATAACTGCGCAAACGATACTCGCGTTCGGTGCAAGATAACAAGGCTATGGCGAGCAGTTCCCTTGAAATGTTTGAACGGAAGAAGGCCCTGTGCGTTTCCCTTCTTGGTGATCAGGCGAAGTGTGCCGACTCCCGCGCCTTGGATGATGGAGTGGCGCTTTTTTTCTCAAACCGATCGGAACCGGCACATAGCAATCAAAACGAGGGCACGCATTTTCGACGTGATGTCATGATATATGGGGAACGGCCTATTTCTCACATGTGCAGCGGGTTGATTCCTTCAATGCCCGATCGACTGGTGCTGTAGCAGCTGTACGCGAGATGATCTACTCGTAGGTAACGGACCAATATTGACTGCACGATGAGCACCGTTCGCTGCCTGCGAACCAACCGAACGTGATGATATGCAGCCTGCACTCAGAACAGTCAGTCAAGAGCCAGGGTGCGATGGAGCCAAGACGTCCCCTTTCGGGGAAGATGGGCCAGGCGAAAGTATGAACAGCAAGACGAACCGCACACCAAAGTGCTTTTGATAAGGAACAGGCAAGACGGTAACCGCATGTGGTGCAAATCGGACGATATTGACTCTGCGAAAAAAAGTTGGTGGCTCTCGTGCAGCAATCCCTTGCTGAGACTGGCCCGTTCACTGCGTCGCTTGGCGTGAAGTCGGAAAGCACTTGCATGCAATCGGTGCGCGAAGGCCGAAATTGAGTAGCGCAATGTACCCAGCTATAGTTGTGTGCATATTGACGTGACGAGGCATCGCCTTTTGAGAGAGCACCGTCACTATCATCCCTATAGGCAGATAGGGAGGAAGATGAGCGCACATGTCTTTCGCATAATGTTTCGTGGGGGTCAACGCTCGGCTGTGGTGTGTGATAACTAGCCACCGCACGGATACCAGAGTGAAACGGCGTAGTAGGCTCGGGAGAAAGAGGCAGATGCGGCACTGCACGTGTTGTGTTGAAGCTTTTGTGGTCCGCAGCGGACGGGAATCGCAGACAAAGTGCAAAGCGGGTCTTTCGATTCGCTTTCGTGCTCGCAGCAATGTCGGCGTGAAGGGACGCAAGTCACGGTGCTGCTCGCGTAGGCGTATGAAGAAGGAAGAACTAGGCATGGGCACTAGTATGGCGCAAAGTTAAAAGATGGAGAGACAGTGTCAGGGACCCACGGCAGCTTGGACCAGGACTCTACCTGATCCCACGCAACCGTCGAGCGGAACCGGCAAGTGACAAACTACAGACCGAATTAGTACCAGGCGTACGCTAGACGTGACTCTCTTCCATGAATCCTTCACCGAAGGATGTTTTTGGACCTTCTCCGTGGGTAATTAAGCGACGGATTGCGGCCCCCGCCTATAGCTGCTGTGTGGGAGATTGGGACTCGACTTGTCGAAGAGTCGCTGAGATGACAGTACAAGTGATGTGAGGGGTCACTGACTGGAGATCATCGTCGTCGTCTCGAGTGTTGGCTAAGAGGGTGCCCAAACATGGGCTTCGGTGGAATATGCCGTCTCGCTCACGGTATTTGGCCGTCGTGGAGTGGAGCGGAAGCCCTTGCCAGGGCAGCGTTGAAGGGTCGCACCAACGCGTGCAATAAGCTTTGAGCGTCATCGTCTAGAAAAGCTCGTAGTTTTGACGAGTCGAGCGGGTGCAGCTGTGCCGTGATGACCCTGTTTCCGGCCCAGGGATGCCACGAGGCCGCTTCCGCAGCCAATGGTGCCCCCCTGCTAGTTCTAAACGTTCGCTTGCATCTGCCTTGTTCCTGAGGCGCTCCTGCCTCCCTCGCCCCGAACTCACTGACACCAACGTCTTCGCCGCGTGCCGGCCAGAGGCGCGCCGCTGCACAACCTCATCTGAACTGCGACCGAGTCAAATGCACTACGCCAGCACGGGGCACATGTTTTCTTCTCAACAACATGCACATCACTGGTGCTCCGTACCTCGCCACCAGGGCCATTATTCAGTCGCCAGCGACCGTTTAGCTGCGTCGCCCTGTTCGCAGCTGGTGGGCCGGCTTTCCTACCGCTTTGGTGCAGACCACCGGCATTGATAAACCGCCTGGCATATGAGCAGCCGGTCCGCAAGGCGACGATAGATGATGATAGTCGATTAACTGCATCAGGTCCGTTTTCGCTGGCGCTAGACATGTTCACCTGATGCTTCAGTCGCGCGCTGCTACTCGCCTCCACACTATGCTGCAGATCAACATGTTGCAGCCAAAAGGCACCGTCCGTCGCAACCATGCGCTGTGCTCGATGCTAAGGGTGGTGCCGCGCTGTCCATCGTGCAGATCACCCTGGGTATTAATTGCGTGATGCTATAGCCTACCCCACGAATCGCCAGACATGCGAGGTTAGGCTCGCGTTTCACCCAACTCCCGCCAATCCCACCTGGGACGCG